TTTTTAAATGTTCACAATTTTATTTTGATAAATGAAAAATTAGAAAAGTCAAGATTTTGTTATTAACGCAAGAGTCGATGCTGGGCTGTGTGCGTTCATCTGTGGCTGTCGACTATAGTCGACGCTTGTACCTAAGTGGTTAAAGAGTGTGAGGTTCAAGATGCTAAGACAGAATTGGTGAAGACTGGCTCCTTAATTCCGTGCTCTTAAGTCCCACAGAACATTGCCACAATACACTTCTTGGTGCTTACCCGTGATTATCACAAACTGGGGGGAGTAAGTGATCAAATATGTTAAAAAAAATAAGTATATATTAAACATGTAATAAAATGGACAAATGTCGGCTGAAGTAAACTAAAATCATAAGCATCTTTTCTGTTTGTTTCTTGAGGGTGTTTTTGTTCCCAGTAGCCTAGTGAAGTGTGGTGATTAGGGGTGGTTTTTGTTTTGCATAGTTTTGCCTCAATCTCAGTCTCTTGTCTTAACCTTTCACCGGCTCACACTGAACTTGTTGAAGACTCTGGTGGAAGGTTATTAAAAAATGCTTTGTGCTCCTAGGGAGAATGTTAACTTTTACAGTAGGTACCCAGTAGAGCTATTAGAAAGGAGGGGAGAAAAAGTAAAAGCGAAATTTCAGTGTTTAAAATTTTAGGGAGAAGCTAAGAAGAAAAGATAAAAATGGTATAGTCTGATGGCAGACTTTTATTATTTTATCCATGCATGGTCATTGTTGTTAATATTATCAGTTCTCATACAGCACTCTCATTGAAGGCCTCGCCAGTGTTTGGCACATGATTGATAAACGAATGAATAGATGAATGGAGGAATTCATCCATGGATAGATGAGATTAAGCTACAGGTAGCCCAATCTACCCAGTTAATTTGAAGAATATTGGACTTTTTATGTTTCCTAGCTTCTGACTTCCCAATGTCTTATCATTTGTTCTGTTCAATTCTTCATGTAAAGATGACTTTTTCAAATGATCACATACTTTGGTTAACTTCAATAACTTATTTTTAATTATAAAATACTTACGAATAATTAAACAGGAAATATGGGAAGTCTATATGAAGAAAGTTTAAAACTAACTCCTGAGAGGTTTAAAAGATGACTTGAATGAAAAGGACTATACTATTTTACAATAGGAAAGTACAATATCATAAATCTTTTAATTCTCCCTAATTTATAAATTTAACTTGATCCCTTCAAAACTATCGATAGGATGTGGCATTTCTGGCTGGGCAGCTTTTTCTAAAGTTCTGCTCCCTCCTCCTCCCTCCCCTCCTTTCCTCTTGCTTCTCTTCCCCAATTCTTGCACGGAGTCAAAGGTTTCTGCTTTGGAAAAAATTGCACCAGACTTGGGGACAACTTAGGGACACCAAGCGGAGCAGAGTGATGGAGAGATGTTGGATTAAAAAAGAGGATTCAGAGAAAGTCTACATTCTAAATATTCAAGCTCTTCTACCCCACACCAACTCCTCTTCCACAACTCAGGCACAGAAACAGGCAAATACCCTCCGCCCACAGGATACTCTATGATTTTTCTTTAAAAGACCTGAAAGCCTCAAAGACTGGCATTTTTGTGTCCTCAGATGAACTATCTCCATCCTTGCCCAACAGTGAAGCCAAGCAGTTGATATCTCCCTCCATCCCCATACACAGATCATCATCCTATCCATTGTTTGGAGTCTTGGTTCCGAACAGTCAAGAAGTGTCAGATAGGCCGGGCGCTGTGGCTCACGCCTGTAATCCTAGCTCTTGGGAGGCCGAGGCGGGCGGATTGCTCAAGGTCAGGAGTTCGAAACCAGCCTGAGCAAGAGCGAGACCCCGTCTCTACTATAAATAGAAAGAAATTAATTGGCCAACTGATATATATATATAAAAAAAAAATTAGCCGGGCATGGTGGTGCATGCCTGTAGTCCCAGCTACCCGGGAGGCTGAGGCAGAAGGATCACTCGAGCCCAGGAGTTTGAGGTTGCTGTGAGCTAGGCTGACGCCACGGCACTCACTCTAGCCTGGGCAACAAAGCGAGACTCTGTCTCAAAAAAAAAAAAAAAGAAGTGTCAGATATTCCAACATGAAAGACAGACCAAAACAAACAGAGAACAGAAAATAGGAGAAAATAGGGGCCATTCATATACACTATATATGTGTGTGTGTATTCGAATGTATACGTATATTCACCTATTGAGATACTAAATGCATTGTTTCTGATTGTCTCAATGTTGGCTTAGGTTCAGAAGGCTTAAAACAAAAGAGGTGACAACATCCCCGCTTTTTATTTTTTATTTATTTATTTTTGAGACATAGTCTCACTTTGTTGCCAAGGCTAGAGTGAGTGCCATAGTGTCAGCCTAGCTCACAGCAACCTCAAACTCCTGGGCTCAAGCAATCCGGCTGCCTCAGCCTCACAAGTAGCTGGGACTACAGGCATGCACCACCATGACCGGCTAATTTTTTCTATATATATTAGTTGGCCAATTAATTTATTTCTATTTAGAGATGGGTCTCACTCTTGCTCAGGTTGGTTTCAAACTCCTGAGCTCAAAGGATCCGCCCACCTCGGCCTCCCACAGTGCTAGGATTACAGGCGTGAGCCACGCCCTGCCATCCCCCCTTTTTAGAGAAAGGAAGAGGTGCTACACCACCCGCAGTGGTTAGCAGTCTGGCCTCAGGAGGCCTGGAGTCAGACCTTGACTCTACCCTTACCATCTTTGCAACCAGGGCAGTTGGGTTCAGCTGCCCGTGCTTCCATTTCCTCATCTGTAAAATGAAGACAACCGAAGCCTCCTCTGCTAAGGGTCATCGTGAGGATTAAAGAATAAAATAATCCATGGGAAGTGTTGACAACAGTGCCTGGCACTTAGAAAGAGCTCAGTAGCTATTGCTGCTGTTGTGCCATTATTAGCCCCTCACCCTCCTGAGCCATAAAAAAGGAAAAATTCTCTGTTGTTAAAATGCAGGTATGTTTCCTATCTCTCGTGAGGGAGGACAGTGGAGCTAGACAAGTGAGCTGACTTGCATTCCTGGAGCTGGAGGGACTCAGGGAGTGGGATCCAGTATGTAACTGAAAAAGCCGCAGGTGGATGGGCCTGAGGGAGCAGACCGATGAGAGTTTGGGTTGTGTTCAGAACACCCCTGTTTGCAGAGTTTGGCAGGGAAAGGATTCAGGCATGTTTTCCATGAGCTTGATGGGGTTCCCAGGAAGTTGGTGTTTAGTTTTCTTGGAAAGGATTCTGCCCCACTGGCTTTCCGCCAGGAGAAACGCCCCTGTCTGGAAAAGACTCAAACCCACCAAGATGCAGAAACTGAGTAGACTATGTCAAGGGAGCTATGATTAAAAGAACCCCCTAAAACTACATAGGTTTCCCATGAGAGAAAGAATCAGCATTTGGAACCTGTTGGGACTTTGATTCTGATCCTTGAAATATCGTGGAGACCGAGCACCTGGGCAGAAAGGTCTCAGGTGAGATGTCCTCAAATGTGAACCTTCCTCACTTACCTCCCTCCTGCTGCCACCCAATAACCATGGACAACTTCCCCTCCAATGGCAAACGCTAAAACTAGTAATTGTGGAGAACCTGGACGCCTCATTACAGATCAATGTCTTATCCATTTGTGCTGCTGTAACAAAATGCCACAGACTGGGTAACTTACAAAGAACAAAAATTTATTTCTTATAGTTCTGGGGACTGTGGAGTCCAAGATCAAGGCATTGGTGTCTAGTCAGGGCTGCTCTCTGCTTCCAAGATGGGGCCTTGCTGTGTCCTCACAGGGCAGAAGGAAAAGGGCTAGAGAGGTGAACTCTCTCTGAAGCCTCTATTACAAGGGCATTAATCCATTTTACAAGGGCACCATGCTCATGACTTCATCACTTCCCCAAAGGCCCTACCTTTTAATACCACCACAATGGGGACTAAGTTTCAACATGAATTTTGGAGGGGTCACATTCAAACCATAGGAGGCATGAAGGGAGAACCACATCTGCTGATGAAGGTGGGACCAAAAGAACCACTTGGGAAATTCTCCTCCAATGGGGCAGTGGGGACACATTGTCATTCTTTCATTTAATACTTTTTCAAAAATAAAATGTGTTGCATCCACCAAAACAAACAACAACAAACTGGAGGGTATAAACATAAAAAAGAAAGAACAGAGCTCCTGGACATTAAGAATATGAGCACTGGCTCCCCTACCTCCGCCATCCAACCATAGAAAGACAGTGTGTTGTTCTCGTGGCCCCAGACTGCCCTCTGATGCAGGCTTGTCCCCACAACCTTGCTTTCCTCACCACAGAGCAATTCATGTCAATTTTATCTCTCAAGTGTGTGCTGTGTGCACTGCTGCCGTGCACAGCAGGGGTGGAAGAAGCTGTGGCTACAGACTGCATGCAGATGCACTGACCGGTTGCTGGAGGTGACCGTTACAACTCAAGGGTCATTCTTGGTGTTGGCCATCCCCAGGTGTTTACGTCCATGTTTATATTTGCAGCAGAGGCTTACAGAGGAGGGCAGGGGCAGCCTGATAATCAGTAAAGTGAGGAATCCCAAGAGGATGTAAGACTCAGCATGTAGGAGATTGATTCTCTTTCCAGAGGTAAAGTCTGGCATGTCTGAATTTCACTAAAGCAAGTATGCAATACTACCTTCCAAGGTAGGTGCGTGTAGATTCTTCTTTCATCTCTCCAGTTGTCCCAGGAAAATCTCAGTGAATAGGGTGAGTTTTCCTTGCTTGTTTACTTATTTTTCGTTTGTTTTGTGCAGCTATAGCCAGACTCATGGGAAAAAGAAAGAAAAGGTCATTTGCCTATTAAATTTTAGTAAACACAGCCAAGCCATTAACCTCTGAGTTTTAGGCTGCTTTTTCTGTGAAGCTGTTTATTCATTTATTTAATGTGTATTTACTAATTGAGCATCTACTATCAGGGGCCCTGAGAGCTGGACATTTCACAGGGAGCAAACAAAACAAAATACCCCAAGAAGGTGCCTTCACAGTGTGTAGGAGGAGAAAATCTTTAATCAAACACATAGACATATATTTGGAACCTCAACTGGGATAACTGCCATAGTGCTACAGGAGCCTGTACTAGGGACTGGGCATCTCACCTGGCTGGGAGGGGGCCCAGAGAAAGCTGCGCTGAGGAACATTAACAGTTGTGTTGAGACTGATAGGATGAGGGGATTGACTACACAGGGAGTAGGAAACAAACATTCTGAGGAAAGGGAACAGCCTTTGTTTGAGAGGGGCAAGGCCATTAAGAGATTAAGCTGCAGGTGCTTGAAAGATGGAAAGGATGGCAGCTGTGCTTCAATAAGAGGACGTGGCCTGACAATAGTTAGGGACTCTAAGGATACCCTAATCACGTGGCTAATAAAAGAAGAAAGTATAAAAAATATTTAAATAAAATAAAAAAAAAATAGTCAGGGAGACTTGGCTCTTCAAAGCCTGGGAGAAGGGCTAGAGTTGAGGGGTGGTGTGTGGATAGTTGTGGGTGGTGGGCTCCCCAATCTTGATGGAATACAATGCCCAAAAGTGGCAGAACCTGTGAATGGTGCAGGACTGCATCTAGGGCCTGTGAACCACAGAAAGTTGCAATAAGGGGCCCCGTTTCCCTCCTCCCACAAGTATCTCACTGAAGGTAAAGGATTTACACAGTATGAAAGCACAAAAGCAATGGAACAAAACACTTTAAGGAGAGGTGCTGTATATAGTGATTTGGACCCTTGTCTCTGGAGCCAAAGCATTTAGGTTTAAATCCCACTTTGTAGCTTTGTGCTTTGAGCAGTTAGCTGACCACCTTGGGCCTCAGTTTCCCTATCTGTAAAATGGGGATAACAGTATCTATTTCATCAGGTGGTGGAGATGATATAAATTGGTTAATACACATGAAGTTCTTACAACTGTCTTGTACAAAGCGTACCATATGATATGTTAGGGCAAAAATAGCCAGTTGTGAGACCCTCCCCAATTTTCTTGTACTCCATAAGTCCCTGAGGTGATGTTACAACCAACAGGAGTGAGAGGGGCCTCAAAGTAGGCTGAATTTCCATCCAAACTGTGGGAAGTGGTTAAGATTAGAGTCAAGGAAAAAAAAATGTTAATGTAACATGTTTTTGCTCAGAAGTTCTCAGACCACTTCCCTTTCTGGGCCACTGACATGCCCTCGAGCAATTTCCATTCTAGCAAAAATAGTGCTGGTGGGAAGCCCGAATCAAAGAAAAGGAGAGAGGACAGATTTTAAGGGAACTGGGGCATGTGCAGCCACGTGAGCCCAGAGCCTCTGGAAGGATCTGAGCAGATGTGCAGGGCAACCGCACAGGAGGGCAGGGGGCATTTGTCACTGGGTTGGAGGTCTGATGGGCTAGACTGGGAACCGACTCACCGTCATTTGGAATAGCGTTTCAGGGGAAAACGACCCCAACATTTGAAGTCCTTTGTCTTGAAGTTGTGTGATCCAGCTGTTTGCTCAAGGAGGAAGCAAAGCAGGTAGTAATCCGCCACACATCCGGGCGGTGGAATGAATCTTGGAAGCTGACAAAGACGAAACAAGTCACCGCGCCCTCCCCCACCCTTCACCCCCATCCCCCAAAGAAACGTAAACAAAACGATCGCCCAGCTACACAGAAGACTGGCGAACGGCCAGGGTCCGGGTGTCCTGCAGGCGCCGCTGCGGTCGGGCAGGACGCCGGGCCACTCCGCGCCCTGTCCCTGTCGCCACGTCCCGCGGGCTCCTCGTCCAGCCAGGTGAGTGCAGGCGCCGCCCTGCACTCACCTCCTGCAGGTGCGTCCCTGCCGGCGCCTGCCCCGGCCCCTAGGGTCTCTGCGGCCTCCCGGCCGGCTCGCGTGATCCGGTCCCGCACGAGCTCCCCGGGGCGGGGCGGGGCCAGCCCGCCGTGCGCATGCGCAGCCCAGCCTGCCCCGCGGTCACCGGCTTGCAAAGGTGGGGGGCGCCGGGGACGGGTGGGAGACGAGGCCGCAGGGACGAAGGGGACCGCGGGGCGGGAGTGGGGCAGGGAGGTACCAAAGACTGGGGAGGGAGGACACCGGGGGGCGGGACGCGGGAGACGGCGAGGGCGGCGGGCCCGGGAGCTCGCCCAGGTGAGCCGCAGGTCCGGGCGGGTCCGGCGCAGGTGCCTCGGGGAGGAAGTCTTGAAGGCACTCAGGGAGGGTCCGGGGCTCCTGGGGCGGGGTCAGCTGCCGGGTGTCGCTGCGGCCGCAGAGACGAGGGCGGGGCGGGAGGCAGGTTGTGGGTAGCCCGACCTGAGCACGTGGGCCTGGGAAGCCGCCGGGACGGCTCCGGACACTGCCTCCCCTTTGAGAAAGGGCACGCTGGGCACTGCAGCTGCCAGGGAGACGGACGGTGGCTGGGTGGTGGCCGAGGGCGTGGGAGGAGCGGTCGGGTTCGGGACACAGTGTGGAGGGGTCCCGTCAGGATTTGCTGCCCGGCCCGGTCAGGGTCAGGGTCAGGGCCCAGGGGCAGCGGGAGGCTGGAGCCTGTGGAGGACGCGGCTTGGGGACTTCCGAGCGCAGGCCGCCGCTGTGGCGTGGGGGCCGCCTGCTGGGCGTGGGGGCCGCCTGCTGGGCGCGGGGGCCGCCTGCTGGGCGCGGGGGCCGCCTGCTGTGGCGTGGGGGCCGCCTGCTGTGGCGTGGGGGCCGCCTGCTGGGCGTGGGGGCCGTCTGGAGCCCGGGGAAGATGCGAAACCCAGAGTGGCAGGTCCAGAGCGGCAGGAGGGAAACCAGGGGAGAGTGGCGGCCGGAAGCCAGGAGAAGCAGTATTGACCAGGGACCGATGGACTGAGTCAGAGTCTGGACATCAACGAAGAGGAGCATGGAGACTTGACCGTTAGGTTTAGCAAGGTAGAGGGAGCTGGTGACCTTGACAAGATCAGATGATGCGGAGGAGAGGGAATGGAGCCCCCTAGTATAGACACCTGGGGACAGGTGTATTCATTTTGCTCGTAGGTGTTCGAAAAGTATTTCTTGAATGCCTGTGAAAGTTTTTGCATTTTTTTTGTCACTTTATTATTTTTTATTTTAATTGAAAAATAATTGTATATATTTGTGGGGTACAATGTGGTATTTTGATACATATAAAGATTAAATCAAGCTAATTAATGTATCCATCACCTCACCTACTTTGTTTTTGTGGTGAGAATGTTTAAAATCTACTCTTTTAACAATTTTTGAAACATATATACATTATCAACCATGGTTAACATGCTGTGTGATATATCACTAAATCTTCTGCCTCCTGTCTAACTGAGGCTTTGTCTCCTGTGACCAACATCTCTCCCTGACCCCAGCCTCTGGTAACCACCATTCTACTCTCTGCTACTTTAAGTTTGACTTTTTTAGATTTTCACATGTAAGTGAGATCATGTGGTATTTGTCTTTCTACCTGGCTTATTTTATTTAGCATAATGTCCTCGAGGTTCATCTATGTTGTTGAAAATGACAGTATTTCCCTCTTTTGTAAGCCTGAATAGTATTCCATTATGTGTGTGTGTGTGTATACATATATGTGTATATATGTCTCACATTTTCTTTATCCATTCATTCACTGATGGACACTTAGGTAGTTTCATTTCGTGGCCAAATAGTGCTGCAGTAAACATGGGAGTGCAGATATTTCTTCAATATTCTTATTTCTTTTATTCTTTCTCTTTTTTTCTCCCCCCTGATACGGAGTCTCACTCTGTTAGCCTGGCCAGAGTACAGTGGTGTTGTCATAGCTCACTGCAACCTCAAACTCCTGGGCTCAAGCGATCTTCCTGCCTCAGCCTCCCAAATAGCTAAGATTACAGGCATATGCCACCATTGGCTAATTTTTGTATTTTTTATTCTTTCTCTTGTTCGGGCTGGTTTTGAACTTCTGGGTTCAAGCAATCCTCCCACCTTGGCCTGTTATTTCAGTTCCTCTGGATATATATCTAGAAGTGAGATTGCTAGATCAAATGGTAATTCTGTTTTTAGCTTTTTGAGGAATTTCCATACTGTTTTCTAAAATGACAACACTAATTTACATTCCCACAAACTACCAGGGTTCCCTTTTGTCCACATCTTCCATAACACTCATTATCTTTCATCCTTTTGCTAATAGCCATTCTAACATGTGTGAGGTGGTTTATGGTGGTTTAATTTGCATTTCCCTGGTGATTAGAGATGTTGAGTATTTTTCATATATCTGTTGACCATTCATATGTCTTCTTTTGAGAAATGTCTATTCAAGTCCTTTGCTCATTTTTTAATTGGGTTATTTTCCTGCTATTGAGTTGTTTGAGTTCCTTGTATAAGTAAGTAGCCCCTTATCTAATGTATGGTTTGCAAATTTGCCTAACCTGTGGGTTGTGTCTTCACTCTGTTGTTTCCTTTGCTGTACAGAAGCTTTTTAGTTTGATGCAATCCCATTTGTCTGTTTTTGCTTTTGTTGCTTTTGTGGTCCTATCCAAGAAATCATTGCCCAGACCAATGTTGTGGAGCTTTTCACCTATGTTTTCTTTTATTAGTTTTAATGTCAGATCTTGTGTATAAGTCTTTAATCCATTTTGATTTGATTTTTATATATGGTGTGAGATAAGGGCTCCTTCCGCATGTAGATATGCAGTTTTCTCAACACCATTTATTGAAGAGACTGTCCTTTCCCTGTTGTGTGTTGTGTGTAGCACCTTTCTCAAAAATCAATTGACCATAAATACCTGAGTTTATTTCTGGGCTTTCTATACTATTCCATTGGTTGATGTGCCTTTTTTTAAATGCCAATACAATGCTGTTTTGATTGTAATAGCTTTATAATATATTTTGAAATCAGAGAGTATGATGCCTCTGGCTTTGTTCTTTTTACTCAGAATTGCTTTGGCTCTTTGGGGTCTTTTGTGGTTCCATATGAATTTTAGTATTGTTTTCCCTGTTTCTGTGAAATTGGGATTTTGATGGGGATTGCCCTGAATCTGCAGATCATTTTGGATAGTGTAGACATTTTAATAATAAATCTTCTAATCCATGAACATAGGATATCTTTCCATTTATTTGTGTCCATTTTCTTAGATTAATGGTTTATAGTTATCAATGTACAGCTCTTTCACCTCCTTGGTTAAATTTACCCCTAGGTATTTTTTTTTTATGCTGTTGTAAATGGGATTGTTTTCTTAATTTCTTTTTCATATAGTTTCTTAGTGTATAGAAATGCTACTGATTTTTGTATGTTGATTTTTTTTTTTTTTTTTTTGAGACAGAGTCTCACTTTGTTGCCTAGGCTAGAGTGAGTGCCGTGGCGTCAGCCTAGCTCACAGCAACCTCAAACACCTGGGCTCAAGCAATCCTGCTGCCTCAGCCTCCCAAGTAGCTGGGACTACAGGCATGTGCCACCATGCCCGGCTAATTTTTCTATATATATTAGTTGGCCAATTAATTTCTTTCTATTTATAGTAGAGACGGGGTCTCGCTCTTGCTCAGGCTGGTTTTGAACTCCTGACCTTGTGCAATCTGCCTGCCTCGGCCTCCCAGAGTGCTAGGATTACAGGCGTGAGCCACCGCACCCGGCCTGTGAATGATGTTTTTAAATGTGTTGTTGAATTCAGTTTGTTAGTATTTTGAGGATTTTTGCATCTGTGTTCATCAGGGATATTGGCCAGTAGTTTTATTTTCTTGTATTGTACTTGTCTGGCTTTGGTATAAGGGTAATGCTGGCCTCATGAAATGAGTTTGGAAATATTTCCTTCTCTTCAGTGTTTTGGAAGAATTTGAGAAGGATTGGTATTAGTTCTTCTTAAATGTTTGGTAGAATTCAGGTCAGCGGTGATGCTATGAGGTCCTGGGTTTTTCTTTGATGGGAGACTTTTGGTTACTGCTTCAATCTCCTTGCTTGTTATTAGTCTGTTCAGATTTTCTATTTCCTACTGACTCAGTCTTGGTAGGTTGTATCTTTCTAGGATTTTATCCATTTCATCTAGATTATTCCATTTGTTGGTATATAATTGTTCATGGTAAATAGTCTTTTATGGTCCTTTGTATTTCAGTTGTAATATGTCCTCATTCATTTCTGATTTTATTTGAGTCTTCTCGGGTTTTTTAGTCAGGCTAAAGATCATATATTTTAAATTGATGTTTTCTGTAAATTTTTTCCCTCAAATTCCTGATATAACCTTTCATTGATTATATTTTTCAGAATTGGTAGAGTGCCTCCTTTTTCACAGGGAGCATACAGACATATTTCTTTTTTTCTAATTTGGTAGGTAAGTTTCAGATTTCCTAATAAAGCATCATTAAATTTCTTGGAGTAATGTCAGTGTATGAGAACCTGTCTGGCATCCAGAAAGCTCCCAGTGACTGTTTGATGAACGAGTTTACTTCCTCCCCCAAAGGCCTCTCTTCCCACCTGGAAGATAAAATCAAGGTAAGAGGCTTCACCCAGGGCAGCTTTCACCCCTAAGTCCTCTGGCTGGCTAACCTGAGTCCTCTGCCCAGTGATTCTCACAGGGGTGCCCTGTCACCCTTCTGGCAATGTTTCCAGGCTTGAACAAGGTTGTAAGCTTGTGGAAAGTAGAACCACTGCCTCTCCCGACCTCCTAGGAAAACATACATGTTGCCACAGAGGATGCTTTTTGTAAAGACTTTGTGGTAGCATCTTGAAAATAGCCTTATGTTATGAGCATTTACTATCCTGAGAATAACTTCAGGTGGTGTCGTTCAGTGTTGTTTTTAATCTCAAGTTTGTTTCCACATTTATTGAGAGATTGACTGGCAGACCATCTTGTAAACTAACAGAAAATTTAGGAAAATAGTTTCCACACTCATTTTAAAAAATCATGTGAAATGTTCACTGTTCAAACAGGCAAGTGAGTGGCTTTTTGTAACTAGTGGGACCAAAATTATCTCACTGATTCATTACTTCAGATAGACATGAAAAACTTAGGTTCCACTAGTAAATTCATAAGTTAGTACAGATGAAAGTTTTAAAATAAAAATATGCATGTTTAAAAAGAATGTTTTAATTGTATACAATCCATGAGTATGTGTATATATATGCATATACATATATAGTGTATGTATGTCATTAGAAATTACAGTTCACATAAGATAAGGACTAAAAGCTATATTCCCCAAAAGTACTTGCTGATTGCATTTCCTAGTCAAAGAATCTAGAAACTAGTGATTTTGGAAATGTTGAAACACCAGCAAGTAAAACTTTTTTCTATTTTAATATTTCAAGTTCCATGTTATGGTGAAAGTAATTATTATTACTCAGTAATAGAAACATTTGAATAGAAAAACTTAGATGAAAAATTAGTTAACATTTTACCCACATAATACAAGTCCTAATTGTTTGTCAATCCTACAATTAAAAGCTCCTTCTGTTCTTATGTTTTTTATAACTCTTTATACTTAGTAATTTACTCAACCCTCATCTCCAAAGTAGAATGAAGATTTTCCCTCATTTCATAGCTGTCCAGCTGAAGGCCTGTCATTTCAACCCTCTTGCACAGAAGAGCTCTACAGTGTAATCACACAAGGTGCTTTGCATGATGCCTCTGTTGATTGGATTTTGAATTCTTTTAAATTCTTAATTACATTTACAGCCCTACCTTCATGCCTGAGAAACAATAGGACAGTTTACTTAGTAGTTACCTCAAATTCTTTTACAGTTTCCTAATGTGTAAAAACCTACAAGTGAAGAAAAGGACTTTCTGGATCAAATTGGAAGTCTGGATCATATTGAAGTTTCCAGATTCAAATATTAGAAAGCAACTGTGGGAAAAAAACATATTTATCTTTGGGAGAAATAAGTAAAGATATATATTAAGCTCAAAATAGTAGCATAGGTAACTTCATGCAACATATAAGAAGCTTTTAGTTAATGTTAGTATTGGGAGCCTTAATCTTCACAGTTTTCATCAAGGTATGCAAGTTTAACAGTTATCTGTGACAATATTTTTAAAGCCTCATACCCCTTTTTCTTGATAATTATTGAAGCTGGGTGATAGGAATATAAGGATTCCTTATACTATTCTGTTTATTTTTGTATTTTTAAAAATGTTTCCATAATTGAAAAAATAAAGAAAACATTTTTCTTTATTTTTCTTTTTTCATTTTTTTTTTTTTTGAGACAGAGTCTCACTCTATTGCCCCAGCGTGGTATCAGTCTAGCTCACAGCAACCTTAAACTCCTGGGCTCAAGCAATCCTGCCTCAGCCTCTGGAGTAGCTGGGACTACAGGCATGCACCACCATGCCTGGCTAATTTTTTCTATATATTTTTAGTCGGCCAATTAATTTCTATCTATTTTTAGTAGAGATGGGTCTTGCTGTTAATCAGGCTGGTTTCGAACTCCTGACCTTGAGTGATCCTCCCACCTCGGCCTCCCAGAGTGCTAGGATTACAAGTGTGAGCCACCACGCCTGGCCGAGTTTTTCTATTTTTTGTAGAGATGGGGTCTTGAAGTCCTGGCCTCAAGCAATCCTCCTGCCTTAGCCTCTCAAAGTTCTAGGTATACAGGCATGAGCCACTGCGTCCAGCCCCCAGGTCCCTTTAAATCAAGCATTGGGGTGATGTCCATGCTGGTTGGGCATCCTCATTGTTACCGAGTCTGCAAGCTGCTCACCAGAGTTGCCCTCTCCCCTGCTAGGGCATCACGTCACTCACCTCCTCCCCTTAGCAGCCAGTGTGCTGTCCTTCCCTGTAGAGATGACTCCAGGCAGCCAGACAGTATGGTCCCCTGAGGTTGTTCTGGAAACACTATCATGTTTCTCTAACCTGCTCTCCCTTCAGTATTGTAAGTGTTCTGTGCAGTCTTTTTGGTTGCAGTAGAAACAGATTACATTGAAAGTTTGTCCACTTGCTGCTTATTTGTAGACGAGGTTTATCAAAATATTTTTTACAGACTATGTAAAACTCATCCTTCTTATTATATAGTTCTAGGAGTATTGAAAAAATCATTACAAAAATAAAAGACAGCATTTTCCATTGCTCTGACAGTTCTCTGCTCCACTGCTTCCCCTCGCTCTCCCCACTCTGTCTTTGGAAAACAATACAGTTTTAGCCTTTTCAGATCATATAAATGGTCTCAAAGACTCTGTAGCCTTTTGTGTCCAGCTTCTTTCACTTAGCATAATACTTTTTTCTTTTAAAGAAACTTCATTTTGAAATAATTTTAGGCTTACAGAAGTGTTGCAAAACTATCACACAGAGTCCCCAAATACTATTTACCCATTTCCCCTAATACCCCTAATACCTTGAGTACAATGATTTAAACCAGGACAGTTAGTATATCTAGACGTTTACATACACAGTTTGCTAAGTGGAGTAGCTGAAATTACGTACTTAACAAGCTATAGGAGGGTCATGAATATTTGTGAAAGGAGAAACGTGTGCATGCCCAGTTGAGTTTTATGCCCCTTTATGGAGTCCATGTTCAGCATATGGCAGCTTTCTGGTGTCAGAAGGTGGAGCACATTCCCTATAGACTGGCCAGAACCACTCCACGCCTGTGGCCCCGTGTGAGGAAGGAATGCTGGTCAGTTGTAGTGCCAAAACCACAGAAAGGGAGGAGCAGCATTAGGCAATTGGTGGAAATCCGAGTGGAGGGAGTCTTTCCAAAGGGCTGGTTCTGTATAACCCTCCGGGAAGAAAGCGCGATGGCAGGTAACAAGGGACGGGGTCTAATGAGGCCTGTTTGACCTCCAGTCCTGTCATGGCTGGGGTTTCAGTTTTTAAGGTTTCTCTGGGTCCCCTTGGCCAGGAGGGGGTCTGTTGAGTCAGTTTGGGAGCCTAGGACTTTATTTCTCAACTCCAATCTAGGATCCCACATTACACTTAGTTGTCATGTCTCATTAGGGCCTGGAGTAGTTCTCATCTATCAGAAATTTGATACTTTTTTGAAGCATATTGGCCAATTTTGTTGTAGAGGGCACCTCAGAGTTTGGTGTTTTCTCATTGTCACATTGGCAGGGAAATGCCACACAGTGGTGCTTTGCCCTTGTCATTGCATCACATGAGTAGGTAGATGAAGTTGACGTGTCTTATTACTGGTGATGTTAACTAGATCACTTGGTTAAGGTGATAGCTGCCAGGTTTTCTACCGCAGTTACTATTGTGCAACACTTTAAAGATTCGTTCATGTTGTTGAATGGATTAGCAGTTTGTTCTCTTTATGGCTGAATAGTATTCGTGGTGTGGCTAAACCACACTTTGTTTACCCCTTTACAAGTTGAAGGTCATTGGGTTTGCTCCCAGTTTGGGGCCCGGCACTATCCAATAGGCCTTGGTATTCTCCTGCTGTGCATAAACCACACCACAGAGCACCAGCACCAGACAGGGCCGCTGTGTGACCACGGTGGATCAGGACAGGAGCAAGGCCACTCAGTAATTATGTCTGAACTCAAAGACAAGGACATGTCTAAACCACAAAAACTGCCAGCCACTCCCCTATCCTGGCTAATATGAAGGACTGCTGCTTCTTGACCAATCACTTTAGTCTCACTTCATTCCTTCCACCTTTTAGATAAAATTCCTTACACTATCCAGTCGAAGTGTCCTGTTTCCTAACAGCATCGAATCCAGAACAAAAACCCACTTCTGTGAACTCCTCCCCAACATGACTTAACTCAAGCCCAGATCCTACGATAACTCTGTTCTAATGTTCTGAGTCTGTGGTCCCCAACCCTGCAGCACAGTGGGGGGGGTGGGGGGTGGGTGCGCACAGCAGGACTTGAGTGGTGGCCAAGCAAGTGAACCCATCCCTTGCATCACCCCCACCCCACCTGGGTGGAAAAATTGTCTTCCATGAAACCTGTTCCTGATGCCAAAAAGGTTGGAGACCACTGCTGAGACACCCTGCAGTTTCTCTTGGTGTGTTCTGTCTCAGGTGTGTTCCTGGCCTTTGGCTGCGAGGCATTGACAAACCAAACAGTCTATAAACACACATATTGAAAATCCTTGCTTCTGCTCTTCATACATAAACTTCTCACTGCACACTCAATGCCTTTTACTAATTTGTTGTGCATTTATTTTAAGGTACATGCAAGTAAGTACTAAGGTAATAGTCTTACATCTCCTTCCTTTCTCTTTCAAAACACTACTTGCATCTTACTTTTCCCCCTCAACATGATACTCTGGGGATCTCTATCAAATTAGAATGAACTTTCTTTTTCTGTTTGTTTTGTTGTTGTTAAGTGTGGTATAAAATACACATAACCAAAGTTTGCCATCCTAACCGTTTTTAAGGGTGAAGTTCGGTGGTGTTAAGTATATTCACATTGTTGTGCAACCAATGTCTAAACTCTTTTGATCTTGTGAGACTGAAACTTATTCTCTTTTTTAAGTATAATTTACATACAATAAAATTGACCCTTGTGAGTTCCATGAGTTTTGAAACATACAAACATGTAACCACCACCATAATCAAGATATAGGGCAATTCCCCCCAAAATTGCCCTCTCCCCCAAAATGCTCTCATGTCCCTCTGTGTTCACTCCTCCCCACTCTGACAACCACTCATGTTTCCTGCCCCCATAGCTTTGTTTATCCAGATGTTATGGAAATAGAATCATATCTACATTCTTTTTTTATAGCAGCCAAAGTACGTAATGTGAATGTGCCGCTGTTGATTGAACTCATCCCCTACGGTTGGATGCTGAGGTTATTTCTAGTCTTTTGCTGTTTACCACAACGATCTAATCTGGTATCTGTAGATATGATACTTTGGACGTGTACAAGTCTAACTCGTAAAAGTTCCCAGACTTGGGAATGCTGTCTCAAAGGGACAATGCATTTGTCATTTGGGTAGCTTATCCTACAGAGGGATTTATCATTTGGGGAAATGTGTTATTTTTCTATATGCTCAGATCTTTAATCCTCAGTTCTGCCAACACTTGGCCCACTAGATGGAAGTCAATTCTGCCGATTGTCACTGTCATTGATACAAATGTTGTCTTTCTGTTTTCCTTTTATAAAATTCCTCAGGTATAGATAGAGATTTACTAAATGTGCTTTAGGTGCTACAAGTTTCTCTGACACTATGTCATCTGAATCCTATGTGTTGTCATAGTACCTGTCTTCCCTTCCTAGTTCAGTGCTCAGTTAGAAATTACATTCTCATGGAAATTGTACTTTGGTCAAAAGTTGACAGACCAGTGGTTTTCGTACCTTTTTAAAAGCAGAAGTTTTTCAAATGAATCCTGGCATCTAACCCTTTCCCCAAGCCCTCTAAGGCAGTGGTTCTCAAATTTGAGTGGTTCTTGGTGTCATCTGGAAATGGATTATCAGCTCCAACCCCAGAGTTTCTGATTCAGTAGATCTGGGGGGAGCCTGAGACTGCATTTTAAACAAGATCTCGGGATGGTACCGCAGGTGGCCTGGGGAACACGCTTTGAGAACCGCTGCTCTAGGGCACCTCTGCACATGCTGGGAGCGCTTGAGAACATATCAAAATCAGCCAGTTTAGAGGCTGAATGTCGTGACGATCTGTTACTAAAGATTTTTGTTAAGGGCATTCTTATATATATATATATGTATATATATATTCTTATATATATATGGATGTATATATAATATAAAATATATTTATGTATATTTCTATGTATAAAAATATTTTGTTTCTATAACATTCATTATTGTGATTTTTCTACAGCCCACGCCAAGAATTAGAACTTCAAAGAAAATCTGATGCGTCCTCTCCAGATTGTCCCGAGCCGACTGTTTTCCCAGCTGTGCCGTGGCCTGAAGCCTCCAGCCCCCCCCCACACCAAGATCTGCCTGACAATGACTCGTCCCAGTTCCAGTAAGTCATTCCCAGTCAGCCGTCTCCTCTGCTTCAGCGGCATGTGGAGAACCTGTGAAATACCCGAACCTGTCTACACTCTGAGGGGACTGTCTCCATCAAAATACGTGTTGGGCGAGATTTGTCTCCATCAAAATACGTGTTGGGCGAGATTTTGGAGATAGTCACTCTGTCCTCTTCTCTCTGAAGCAGGCGCATGCTGGGGCAGAGTCAGAGCTCATCTCTTAATACTCAAGTTAGGTCCATTTAGGACACTTTATTGCTTCTGCCAGGATATTTGCGTTTAACCTTTTCACCCATGATTTGTAATTTAAACTCCTCATCTCTCTGCAGGGGAGCAAAGCCGGTGAGTGCCTGTCAGGCAGTGTGGGCTTACGTTTTCCTATTGACAGAACCTTGGTAGCACTGCATGACAAAAACCTGCAAGTCAGCATATCCTGGGCCTTTGGTCTGAGTATAGAGTCTGACAAATTTTTATGATGAAACGACCCAGAGGTGGGCCTGTGAGACAGTGCTTCACTAGGACATCGAGAGGCCAAGCTGAATCCTTTTGACCTCCTTTTCAACTTTTTATAATGCATTTTGTTGTTTCAAGAGATTAGATCAGATTGGAAACTCTAATCTACCCAGATGGGGTTTCCGTTTCCCAGTTCTTCCTAGTTGGACAGGTTGTGTCTCCAGGTAGGCCTATTTTCCACACCAGCCTGTCTCCGGAAGGGCTGTGCGTTCGGCCAGAGCTTTGGCGTGGCCGGCAGGGCAGTTGTGTTGGTTACACCTGCAGAGGACGGCGTGTTGTGGCTATCTTCATTCCATCCAGTCTCAGGCTGCCAAGAGTGTGGTCCCAGAGAGCTCCAGGAATGCAGCCAGAGAGGGAGCTGGTGCTCTCTGCTTCTTTGTTTGCGGGAGTCTTATGTTTCTTTGTTCCTTTTCACAGTAGTCTATTGTAGGGCAGAGAGGAAGGGAAGGGGAGGAGAGATTGAGCCTTTAGTGAGAGTCTCTGTCCTGAGCCAGGCATGGCGTGTGGCTCTGGGCTTAGGAGGATGAGGAAGTCCCATCCCTGCCTAGAGGGAGTCATGCGTGAGAACCCAGGAGAACATGCGCAACCGCTGGGGATACGAAATGAGGCTCCTTTCCCTGGAGTGTTCAAGTTAACTGCCTCTGAATCCCCACCTCGCCCCAGTCCTGCCTGTCACTAGTTCCATCTCTCCAGGGACATTCATTCCGTCCAAGGCTTAGCCTTGGTTGCCATTCCCTCGCGATGGGAAGACCAGGAGCTGCCCAGTGAGCTGAGGAATCCAGTCCCACTTTTGCTGGATCTTCAGTGCTTTAACACAAGTCGGCCACCCCTGGAATAGGGACATCCTGTGTCTGGGACATCCGCTGCATCCGTGGCCTGGGCCTGCCATGAGCAATGTGGTCCAGGACTCGCTTCTGGGGGGCGGGAGGGGGGACAGAAAGAAGAGGGAGCCTCTCTTCTCCTGGCAGCTTGTGCTCACCGCTTGTACCCCTTGGGCGCCTGCTGGGCCACAGCACTTACCCGACACACAAGGGCCTGCAGAGCCGCAGTGCCTGGGAGAGAAGGGGTTGGTCTCAGCCACATGCTGTGCCTCTGCTAGGGTCTTGTTGAAAACTTTGACTCTTAATTGAGCTGTCAAGGAGAAGGTCATGTGCCCGTGTTTGTTCACGAGAGAGGAGCCCTTGTCCTCACCTTGGGTCGCCATGCCGAGGGAAGTTGCATTAGCAAGATCCCTAAAGGGAAGGTAAATTTGGGGAGGAAGGGTAGGCTTTGGGGTCCAGGGGCCTTAGCACTCACACACACAAGCTTGTTTTTATTTTTACGAGGCAAGATAGATTCCTACCCATTAGTGTTTTTTAATCTTTATAATGATGCTGCTCTAAGGAAGGCACTATTGTGCACACCAAACAGCCAGGCAAACCGAGGAGAGAAAAGGGTGAGAAATTCCCATAAGATCACAGGGTTGGATGGGAGCTGCGATTCGGAGCCTGCAGCGTGTGCGTGAACTTGTGCCAAAGGCCCTGCTTCTTTAAGATACTGTATGCTCACCCGTGGGGCTGCGTGAGGCGGCGTCTTCGTGGCACAGGAATGACTTTTGTTTGAGTATTTTAAAGTGTAATTTCATGCAAGGTCAAGTTCAAGATACAATTGGTATTGGGATACAGATGTCCAAATTGGCACACTTGTCTGATAAAGATTTTGTTCTCCGTTTAGGTATGACAGATTTTCGCAAGATTTTTGCAAAAGCCAAGCACATAGTCGTCATTTCAGGGGCCGGTGTTAGTGCCGAGAGTGGGGTTCCGACGTTCAGAGGAGCTGGAGGTTACTGGAGGAAGTGGCAGGCTCAGGTTGGTAATGTTTCCAGAACATGCAAAGGCTCTCCTGAATGAAGCCATAACGGAGTTTGACTTAGAACCGATGGTGGTGCCTGCAGCCCAGAGGGAGTTTTGAAATCACCTGTGACCCGATTGTCCCCTTGATTTTGGCATCAACTCAAAGTTCCTATGATTAAGATCTAAAACTTAAGCAAAGAAGCCACTTTCCTTACTTTCCAGATATGTGTAGGTTGCATTTATTCAAATAATAATTTCTTCCAGTAATTGTGTCAAAGTAGAATCAGAAAACCTTGGTTAGCATAATTCATTGCTACTTCTGGGAACGTTTCATGTTAAAACTAAGGCTTAGGGCTTGGAATTAAAAAAATTTATGTGAAGGCCACTGGAGTGTAAGTTCTGTGAGGGTGTGGATCTTTTTTGTTAATCCAACTTTTAAGATATATAATAAAGATCACCAAGTTTAAGTGTAAAAGTCAATGAATTTTAACAAATGGGTGTAGTTGTCGGCCCATGCCATGATGCTGTATAGAACATGTCCCCTCCCCTCCCCTGACTCAGGCCATCCTTAGTTTTGGAGGACGGGGAGTTCTACCTGTTGTGTTCATTTCACTGGCTCCAGCTCCTAGAACTCTGGTGCAGTATAGGTGCTTAACAGATTTTTGTTGGTTGAATGAAGGCAATTATGACTTTAAAACGTGACGTCCCGGCCGGGCGCGGTGGCTCAAGCCTGTAATCCTAGCACTCTGGGAGGCCGAGGCGGGCGGATTGCTCGAGGTCAGGAGTTCGAAACCAGCCTGAGCAAGAGCAAGACCCCGTCTCTACTATAAATAGAAAGAAATTAATTGGCCAACTAATATATATATATAAAATTAGCCGGGCGTGGTGGCGCATGCCTGTAGTCCCAGCTACTCGGGAGGCTGAGGCAGCAGGATTGCTTGAGCCCAGGAGTTTGAGGTTGCTGTGAGCTAGGCTGACGCCACGGCACTCACTCTAGCCTGTGCAACAAAGCGAGACTCTGTCTCAAAAAAAAAAAAAAAAAGTGACGTCCCTATTCAGTGGGTAATTTCTTGCTGAGTGTAGAGTTCATGAACCTGTCCCTTCCTTCCTGTCTTAAGTGTCTGCGACTGGCAGATGTGTAGGATGTTTTATCACCTGTCTGCTGCCCTGGGGGTGAGGCCTGGGGGCCGTGGTGTGGGGTCATCCGCTTAAAAGTGAAGAGAGAAGAAAAAGAGCAGAGGCCATTAGGGTCCATAGGGGATGAGGGCCAGCTGGGGGCAGTCCCTGGAGCAGAAGCACAGGGGTGGGGCCTTCAGGGATGCAGATGGCAGGTGGAGGAGCGCTCATTCCTGTCGGGGAGGCTCAGAGCTGGTGGGCATGCAAAGAAGTCAATAGAACACATTTGTCTCCAACCCTGTTCCAAGGACACCTGGAACTGCTCCAGGCCACTCGCATTCTGGGTGGAGAGCAGGAAGGGAGTGGAGCATGAGGTTGGGTGGGTCACCCTCAGCGGCCTGTCCCCTCGCAGAGCGGAAGCTGACGTTGCTACCAAGCAGCAGGGGACATTTAAGGAAGAATAAAATGCACACGTGTTCAGTGTGCGAACATGTCCTTGATAGAGCAACCATACTTCTTCTTAAAATTAACATTAATTGAGTCAGTAGATGCAGTAAAGTTGTGTGCTTTAAAGAAGAAATAAAAAATAAATAATAAAGAAAAATAAAAAATAATAAAAAAGATAAAATTAACATTATTGAGGTGGAATTTACATAGAATAAAATGCACCTTGTACATTGTGTGTCCAATCTGATGAGTCGTGATGGGCGTACACACCTGTGTGACACCACCACCTCCACCGTCAAGTATAGAACATTTCCGCCATGGCTAAAAGGTCCTCGTGCCCTTCCCGGTCCAGACAGCCACCTCCCTGCTCTTTCACATAGAGCGATCTGTCTTTCCGAGAGGGTGAGCCGCACTTAAAATGCCTATATTTTATATGTTCTGTTAATGTGCATATGCTTTCTTATATGTGTAGTTGTGTGTATGTGCCATGTGTGTATATGTGTGTGTAGTTTTGTGTGTGCATAGACACGTGTGTATGTAGCTATAGCTGTAGTTATGAAAACAAGAGTTTCTCGACTATGGCCATTTTACCTCAATTGGCCATTTTGCAATTCCGTTTTTCCTGGGTAGAACTCAAAATCTGATTCACTTCATATATTTTGGGGCTCTGAATAAGTAGATTCAACCCCAAATACCTTCCCGCATATTGCTTTACTTCTTGTTCACAGCTTACCTGAGGGGTAGGTGGGGCAGGTGGCGCTGTCCCTGCCTCGTCCCTGGAGAGATCCAGGCTGATTTCCCCAGGGCCCCAGGTCAGCCACAGGGTGGGGCCGTTGCTGTGAGCCTGCAGCTGCCCTGCGGCCACCCTCCCCGTCCGCAGGCGCCCGCTGCCCCCGTTCCTCCCTGACTCCTGCCTCCTCTCCAACCCCAGGACCTGGCGACCCCGCAGGCCTTTGCCCACGACCCGTCCCGGGTGTGGGAGTTCTACCACTACCGGCGCGAGGTCATGGGGAGCAAGGAGCCCAACGCCGGGCACCTCGCCATCGCCGAGTGCGAGGCCCGGCTGAGCACACAGGGCCGACGGGTCACGGTCATCACCCAGAACATCGACGAGCTGCACCGCAAGGCTGGCACCAAGAACCTTCTGGAAATCCACGGTAAGGCCCCTCAGCCTCACATACAGAGGGGAGCCAGGCTTTAAAACACATGTCCTGCCATTTCAGCACAAGCCCTGGCCCTTCTCTCCTTGTGGCACCGTTATTGCTTTAGCTCAGTAAATGGTTGTCAGTGTTAACAATTATTTTTCTTAGCTGGGCGCAGTGGCTCACGCCTGTAATCCTAGCTCTCTGGGAGGCCGAGGCGGGCGGATTGCTCAAGGTCAGGAGTTCGAAACCAGCCTGAGCAAGAGCGAGACCCCATCTCTACTATAAATAGAAAGAAATTAATTGACCAACTAATATATATAGAAAAAATTAGCCAGGCATGGTGGCGCATGCCTGTAGTCCCAGCTACTCGGGAGGCTGAGGCAGGAGGATTGCTTGAGCCCAGGAGTTTGAGGTTGCTGTGAGCTAGGCTGACGCCATGGGACTCACTCTAGCCTGGGCAACAAAGCGAAACTCTGTCTCAAAAAAAAAAAAACAACAAAAAAAACCAATTATTTTTTTCATTTGTTAGTTGATTATTTATTGAGCTGATTTTATATAAAAGATTCAATCTTTATGAAACCAAAGTTAGAATTTTGTGAACATATCCCATGCCATCGAACCTTTATCAGTCATATGCTAGTAAATCATGTGCTTAGCTTTAGGTCAAGTTCCTTGTACCCTACTGGCCACTTTGCCCAGGTGACCGTCACTCCGAAGTCATGTGGGAGCTCATGAGTCATGGAGTGTGTTCCTTCCCCTCCAGGTTATGAAGTCCTTGAGGGCGCACGCTCATGAGTGGCTCGCTAAAATGGCTTGCTAAAATGAAGTATAGAAGCTAACTTATTTTGTGCCCTTTTAAACATGGGGACAATTGCTTTTCATTAAACTAAATTCTGGATTTGCTTAACGTGTATTTTTCAGGTAGCTTATTTAAAACTCGATGTACCTCTTGTGGAATTGTGGCTGAGAATTACAAGAGTCCAATTTGTCCAGCATTATCAGGAAAAGGGTAATTACACCGCACTTCAGAATAAGTATGTGTTGTTTTCTTCTTTAGGTCAAATATAAATGTGCGGAAATTGAACATTAATCAAAGACTCCCATGGATGTTTATGAGAAATATGACTAGACACAGTACAGCCTATGATAAGAGAAATATTTTGCTTGCAATTTATAATGTTAAGTGAAAACCACAAGGTACCAAACTATGTACAATGTGATCCCAACTTTGTATGAAAACACACACACACACACACACACACTCACTTTCTGCATGTGTATATCTGTATATAGTTAAAAGACCAGAAGAAAACACAGCAAAATGTTAACAGAGATTATCAGGGGTTGGAGGGATTTTTGGGTAATTTTTATGTCTGTCTTATATCTTTCTGAATTTGTCAGCATTTCTATGATGAATATGTACTATTATTACAATAAGGAAAAAAATTTGAGAGTAGATTTAGAATATTGAGAAAAATTCTATTGGGCCATTTTAAAACAGTATGTTATATAAATAATATATTAATATAATGCCATTGCAGAAGATTCAAATGATGATGACACATAAAGGCAAATCATGAAGCTCCCCCTCAGTACACGTGGCCACTCCAGCCCTCTCCACACACAGATTCCCCCTCTGGGAGAGCGGCCACTGGGACTTCATGCCTGGGGGCCATCCGTCTGGTGCCCTTCTGAGTTAGCGTGCATTAATTAGGAGTTTTGTGTTATTGCCAGGCAGGTGCACAAACTTATGGGGTTACATTATTTCTTCATTTTTTTGATGATACCAATGACATTCTTTCTTTCCTAATATTATTGTACGTCAGTGCTCCAGAACCTGGAACTCAAGATGCCAGAATCCCAGTAGAGAAACTTCCCCGGTAGGTTAAAAAAAAACTCTTTGATTTGTATTTGGTGTTCCAGATTGCAAGAAAAAGGAAAATGAGGAATCAAAAACTAAATGTTTATTTGCTGAGATGTCTCTTAATCAAATGCACAAATATAAGAACCAGCCTTGACCTCTGAGACCAAAGGCAAAAGGACACAGGATGAATCAAACCAGGGTGAAAAGAGTGGTTTCTTTCCAATCCCTTTTTGTTTTGTGTTGTGGGGGGATCATTTGATCGTTTCTGAAGCTCTCTGGAACAGATGGTGTTCCAGTACACAGCAGGCATGGGGGCTGCATCCTGGAACTGGTCAGTTAATGTCACCAGAGTTTTAACCCAGGGTTAGGGAGGCAATAAAAGGTCTTGCAAAGGGAAGTTATAGGATCAAACACAATTTTTTTAAATTGACAAATAATAATTATACATATTTATGGGGTGTATAGTGTGATGTTTTGATACATATAATGTATACTGATCAGACTAGAATAATTAGCATATCCGTCATCTCAAACATTTATCATTTTCTTTGTCCAAACAGAATTTTGGTAGATTAAAAAAAAATCCCTAGGAAGATTTTTATTTCAGTTTTTTAAGACCAGACATTAAAATAGCAATTTCAGGCCGGGCGCGGTGGCTCACGCTTGTAATCCTAGCACTCTGGGAGGCCGAGGCGGGCGGATTGCTCAAGGTCAGGAGTTCAAAACCAGCCTGAGCAAGACCCCGTCTCTACTATAAAAAATAGAAAGAAATTAATTGGCCAACTAATATATATATATATATAAAAATTAGCCGGGCATGGTGGCTCGTGCCTGTAGTCCCAGCAACTCGGGAGGCTGAGGCAGTAGGATTGCTTAAGCCCAGGAGTCTGAGGTTGCTGTGAGCTAGGCTGATGCCATGGCACTCACTCTAACCTAGGCAAGAAAGCGAGACTCTGTCTCAAAAAAAAAAAAAAAAAAATAGCAATTTCAAAAGTTTTCCATAGAGCACTAATTCCATGCAATGTTAATGGGCATTACTTGAAAAAAAAATGTTACGTGCTTAAATAAAGATGGAAATGTTAAACCAAAGTTAAAGTACATTTATATCTACTGTAGGACTTCTCAGAGCATTTAATCCACTAAAGCCTATTGTTGCTGTCTAAAAAGTGGTTATGGTATGTTAACGTTTTGCTGGGTTATTGAGCCACAGAACTCTTTTTTTTTTACATAAGGGTTTTTGTTGCTAGATTCTAAAGTTTCGATCTGAAAGAAAAGGGAGTCCTGGGGACTCCTGTGATGTAGGAGGTCAATGTGGAAGTGGTGTTTGGAGAGATGGCTTTAGAAGGTATACAGAGGGTGACCGAGAGGTAGGAGGGAGGGAAGGAAAGGGAAGAGATTTTTGAAAATGGACAGTGGAGAACTTGGCTATAGACAGGCCAGAGAGAGGTGAATCCGAGAGGAAATGAAAGGAGGTTGGCGATGAAATCAGGGGATGGTTGGGGTGTCGGAGCAAATGTGAGTCTGATCTTACTCCAAGGTCTGGGTAACTGAGCACGGTTGTGCCAGCGAGTGGAATGGAGTAGCTGGGAAAGACAAAGCCATTTAGAAAAGAGAACATGAGGCTTAGCTGAAACAGCGTGTTAGCACATCACCGTAGTGCTGCGGTTCAACCTTGGGCCGCAGACCGGTACGGGTCCTCGGCCTGTTAGGGACTGGGCAGCACCTCCCCCAATCCATGGAAATTGTCTCCCATGAAACTCAGGAATGGGGGTAGGGGTGGGAGTGAGCAGTGGTGAGTGAGGGCGAAGCTTCATCTGTGTTTACAGCTGCTCCCCATCACTCCATCACCGTCTGAGCTCTGCCCCCCACCCCACACTGTCCCTAGTGCCAAAAAGGGTGGGGACCGCTGCCTTAGTGCATACAGACATGATAAAAAACTTCATAAGGACAGTTAGACTTTGTACTTGGTACCCAGGGCAAGCTCATTTGGGCTGGGAGGGGATAGGGGATAAGAAGCATCCGAGTGACCCATCTGGGTGGGCTGGGTTTGGGGCAGCCCCTAGCCTCCCTCTGACCCACAGGGCGGACCTCCCAGGGCCAGGTCGGGGGTGGCTTAAGGATCACGTTTTTCCAGGTGTGAAGAGGCTGGGTGCGGGGGCTTGCTGCGACCTCACGTCGTGTGGTTTGGAGAAAACCTGGATCCTGCCATCCTGGAGGAGGTTGACAGGGAGCTCTCGCTCTGTGACCTATGTCTAGTGGTAGGTCACGCCCTTCCCTAACCCTCAGGCTTTTCTGAAACACTAAAGACTGGGCTGGAGTTCTTGTTTCCTTCCTCTCTCCTCCCTCCCTGCCTTCCTTCTTCTCTCCCTTCTCTCCTTCTCTCCTCCCTCCTTCCCTTCCTTTTCTTAAAATGTGTGTTGATAGGTCTTGTGGTGTCCTATAGAAAAACTAAGAAATAATGAATAAGAAATAATGAATGATTTTAAATATGAAATTTTAAATAATGAATAAGAAATAATGAATGATTTTAAATATGATTTTAATGATTTTAAAATATGAAACTATGCAAGAAGGACCATGTCTTGGGCATCTCAAAACCTTCTACCCTACCACCCCTGAAAAGAAAAGAACATGCTATTGGTTCATATTTTTAAAATAATTCATGTTCATTATTAAATTTAGTGAGAAAATTCAAAAAAGTATAAAATTGTAAAGAGGAAATTAGAGATTACCCATAATACACCATCCAGAAATAGTTACCGTTAGCAAGCAGTTTGGTGTGTTCGCTTCTAGACCAGGAGTGGGCAAACTGTGGCCTGTGGTCCAAATCTTACCTGCTGCCTGTTTTTGTAAATAAAGTTTTATTGGAACACAGCCATGCTTATTCTCCTGTGCACTGTCTATGGCTGCTTTCACGCTACAACGGCAGAGTTGAGTACTTGTGACAGAGATCATATGGCCTGCAAAGCCTAAAAAATTTGTCTGACCCTTTTCAGACAGCCCTTTGGGCTGCTTGAAATTTTGATATTTTAAACAATGCTGTGGGGGAATATTCGTAGATATAAATCTTAGCATATTCTTCAAATTAATTCTGTAGAAGACATTTCCTAGAAGTAGAATTAATTGGACAAATCATATGCATATTTCAGTATTGCCTTAACACATCTTTAAAAGCACAAACACTTTCTTGTGGTGTGTGTTCATTCAGCCAGTGTTTGTTGAGTGCATAATGTCAGTGTTCACGATGGGCCATTAGATGAGAAAGCTGGTTTACAAAACATGTTCCTGTCTCCCCATTCCTGTAAAGAATGTTGATAAGCATATATATATGAGAAAAACCTAAAAGGATATACATCAAAACATTAACAGTAGTTATCTTGGGGTAGTAGGATTATGAACGGTATGTATGTATTTTAAGTTATAAAATACAAAAAAAGTTATGGATCATTTGCATGAATTCAAAGAGTGGGAAAAAAAACAAACCCAGAATTACCCCCCAATGTTAGTTGCATCATTCCTTTGCCATTCTTTGCATCTGTACAACTCTCCTTTTCATAGCACATATTCTTCCCAAATTCTGGTGATTGGCCACAGTGATGCCTCTTAACTTTCCACTTAGCCCTTGGACACTCTCCATTTTATCCCATCTAGCTTAGCTTTCCTCACACCTGCAACCACAGACCTGCCAGAGTTTATGTAAGGTTTGGGCATTGCTGTGTGCTTGCTTTGCAGGTGGGCACTTCTTCTGTGGTGTACCCGGCCGCCATGTTTGCCCCCCAGGTGTCTGCCAAGGGGGTGCCCGTGGCCGAGTTTAACATGGAGACCACTCCAGCCACGAACAGATTCAGGTACAGGGGCAACCTGGTGGGAGATGGGAAGTGGAGGGCAGGTTGGATGTGGTCATCTAAACAGAGTTTACCTACTGTTCTAATTAGAAAAAATCCCCAAATACAATGTTTTCTTGTTTGGTCTGTAGTTGCTTTTACGGAAAAACAAAAAATCATTAACTATAGACTAAGATAACTATTAATATGTCTTTTTATGTGGGATTTGCTGTAGCGGTTTTGTTTTTTCACATTTTGAGAGCTCTCCTTTAATTCTTTAGGCTTTGCTTTTCGTTTGCATTTTGAGCTAGATTTAGTCATGGCCTTTAGACGTGGGTTGCCCTGGGAAAGGCCCGCACAGACCCGCACTGCCGGCTGTTCTCATGGTGAGATCACCTGGGAAAGCTCCTCTTTTGTCTGCTTGCCAAGAATACTGTATTTGTGGCCATATGATGACACTGATCCTGTTTCTCAAGTTTGTGTGGAAAGTATAGATATCATAGTATGCATTTTTAGTCTCATTCCAGGTTCCATTCATGTCTGCACCTTTGTTTTGCTTTTTTTCCCTCATTTCACTTTTTTTGCCTTTACTTTTAATTTTCATCAGTCTGCTTAATTCCTTTTTAGAATAAGATAGAATACAAATAAGTAATGAATCCATATAAATAAATTAAAAATAAAACCTCACTCAAATGTCTTGTCATTACTTTAATCAATGATTTTTTACTTTGGATGCATATTTAATTTAATTTATTTTTTTGAAAGACAGGGTCTCCCTCTGTTGCCCAGGCTAGAGTGCAGTGATAGGTCATAGCTCACTGTAGCCTCGAACTTCTGGCCTCAAGTGATCCTCCTGCCTCAGCTTCCCAGGGAGTTGGGACTATAGGCATGTGCCACCACACACAGCTAATTTTTCTATTTTTTGTAGAGGTGGAGTCTCACTATGTTGCCCAGGCTGGTCTGGAACTCCTGGCCTCAAGCGATCCTCCTGCCTTAGCCTCCTAAAGTGCTAAGATTATAGATGTGAGCCACCATGTCTAGCCTTGATTGAATATTTTAAAAATATTGATGCATGGATGCCACTTCATGAGATTCTGATATAATTGCTCTGAGGTATAGCCTGAACATCATGATTTTTTATAAGTTTCCTAGGTGATTCTAATGTGCAGCTAGGATGAGAACTGCTGCTCTTAAGTCTTCACTGGGTTAAAAAAAATTGTGCTACAGACACTTAAATAGGATCCTCTTCTGGTGAGTGAGCTGGCTTTGGTCCTAGTCTTTTCCACTTGTCTCTTTAATCAGCTACAGCCTATATGTTCTTGGCCCATAGTTCTTCATTTGCATGTAAATGGTAGGAACTAAGAAGAACATTGTTGAAATATAAAGAAGGTCTAAGTAAATAGAAATACATCCCAAGTTCATGGATTGGACAACTTAATATTTTTAAGAAGGCAGTGCTCCCCAAAGTGATCTGTAGGTTCAACCCAATCCTTACCAAAATTACATCTGGCTTTTTGTAGCAGTTGACAAGTTGATTCTAAAATTCATATAAAATTCAAGGGACCCAGAATAGCCAAAAACAAAGTAAAGATTGAAGTTGGAGAACTCACACTCTCCATTCAAAACTTACTACAAACTTACAGTAATCAAGATAGTGTGGCACTGGCATAAGGATAGATATATAGAACCAGTGGAATAGAATTGAGAGTCCAGTAATAAACCCTCGTATTTATGGGCAAGTGATTTTTTAAAAGAGTGCCAAGACAATTCGATGGGGAAAGACAGTCTTTTCAAGAAATGGCGTTGGATAGCCACGTGCAAAGGAATGAAGTTGCACCCCTTTGTCACATTACACAGAAAAAGTAACCCAGAATGGATCATAGACCTAAATGTAAGAGCTGAAACTATGAAATTCTTAAAAGAAAATATAGGAGTATATCTTTTTTTTTTCCTGAGACAGATTGTGACACAGGGGTGTGCCACCACACCTGGCTTTTTTTTTTTTTTTTTTTTTGAGACAGAGTCTCACGTTTGTTGCCCAAGCTAGAGTGCCGTGGCATCAGCTTAGCTCACAGCAACCTCAAACTCCTGGGCTCAAGCGATCCTCCTGCCTTAGCCTCCCAAGTAGCTGGGACTACAGGCATGTGCCACCATGCCTGGCTAATTTATATATATATATATATATATATATATGTTTAGTTGACCAATTAATTTCTTTCTATTTATAGTAGAGACGGGGTCTCGCTCTTGCTCAGGCTGGTTTTGAACTCCTGAGCTTGAGCAATCCACCTGCCTCGGCCTCCCTGAGTGCTAGGATTACAGGCGTGAGCCGCCGTGCCCAGCCCTGGCAATTTTTTTTTTTTTTTTGGTAGAAATGGGATCTCACTATGTTGTCCAGACTGGTCTCAAACTCCTGGCTTCAAGTGATCCTCCCGCCCTGGTCTCCCAGTGCTAGGTGTGAGCCACCATACCTGGCAACGCTTTCTTAGATCTGACACCAAAAGCAAAAGTAACATAAGAAAAATGGGTAAATTAGACTTCATCAAAATTTAAAACTTTCTTATTTCAATGGATACCACCAATTAAGAGAAAAGAAAATCCACATTTTTAAGTCTAGCATTTGATAAGAGGTTTATTTGTATCCAAAATATATAAAGAACTCTTAAAACTCAATAATAAAAGACAATCCAATTTTAAAACAGGCCAAAAGATTTGAAAAGACAGTTCTCCAAATATATACACATGGCCAATAAGCATATTGAAAAGATGTTCAACATCATTAGCCATCAGGGAAATGCAAATTAAAACCACAATGAGATGCCACTTTACAACTACCAGCATGGCTATAATATTTTACATAAAAGAAAACAACAACTATTGGTGAAGAAATTGGAACCTTTATACGTTGCTGGTGGGAATGGAATGTACATTGGTGCAGTCGCTTTGGAAAACAGTCTGGCAGTTAAATATAGTATTACTATATGACCCAGCAATTCTATTCCTTGATATGTATGTAGCCTTAGAAATGAAAACATATGTCTACACAGAAATTTGCACTTGAATATTCATGGTAGCATCGTTCATGGAAAAAGTGGAGATAGCCCACGTGTCCATCATCTGATGGATAGATAAATGAAATTTGGTATATTTGTACAATGGACTATTATTCAGCCATAAAAAGGATGAAGTACTGATACATGCTACAGCATTGTGACCCTTGAAAACAGTATGCCAAGTGAAAGAAGACAGTCATAAAAGATGACGTAATGTATGACTCCATTTACGTGAAATATCCCAATCGGCAAATCAGTAGCCAGAAGGCAGATTAGTGGGTGGTTGTGCTGGGAGGGGGGAGGAGTAGGGGGTGAGCGCTAACGGGTACAGGTTTTCATTTTGGGTTGATTAAAACGTTCTGAAGTTGATTGTGGGGATGGCTGTGCAATTCTGTGAATATACCCAAAACTACTGAATTATACATTTAAATGGGTGGGTTGTATGTGAATTATATCTCAATAAAGCTATTACATTAAAAAAAGTTGTCTTCTAACTTATCCACTGGAAAATGGACATCAGGCCTCCCTCTAATATGTATGTGTCACAGCTGGGTACTTACCATCATCAGAAGCCATGTCAGAGCAGGTAACTCAAGGCCCTTGGCTGCTCGAAAGACCATCCGAAAATGACAAGAGTGGGACAGGATAAACTCTCTGAAGCAGGACTTGAGCTTTAGCCAACATTCTTCAGCTTCACGTTGTCTTGAAAACCTTCAGCGTCTCTCTGAACAGACCAACAGGCTTGCGAATTAGCAACTCTTATCAATTTGTCAAGCTACTCAGCGACCAGAACTGATCACAAGAACCATCGTTGTGTCGGCTTCTCTGGGGAGCTGCTGAGGCTGTCTGTAGAACATAAGTCCAGGGATTTTCCCAGTTGAGTGTGACCCATCAGAGAAGCCAGCAATGATTTTGTCTCAGAGTTGTCGGAGATGCCAGTGATCATCATCTCGTCCTACTCAATTTTTCAAATGGGGAAACCAACCCTGGAGTGACTGAGAGGCTTATTTAAACATAGCGCTTAACAATGGCACAATTTTCTCTTACACTTCGTGCTCGACAGATTTTGGTTGAACTTTACCCCAGGTCGGGGGTCAGCAAACTACTGCCTATGGGCCGAGTTTGCCCACCACCTGTATTTGTAGAAAAAAGTTTTATGGGAACACAGGCATGGCCCTGTGCTATGTGTTGTCTGTGGCACTTCTGCACTGCAGTGGCGGGGTTGAGTAGTTGCAACAGAGACCATCTGGTTTGCAAAGCTTAAAATATTTACTGTGTGGCCCTTCACAGAGAAAGTTTGACAAACCTTGCTCTAGGTTAGAGAGAAAAAGGAAAATTGGATTAATATTCCCTGCTGCATTTAATCTGATTTTTTTTATTACTTAAGTAGGTGGCTGGAATGCTGCCTGGATCTTAAACTTGAATCTCACAAGACTGCTTGGGCCTTGCACAAGTTGTTTAGATTTTTTTGCCCCAGTTCTAATCTAGAGACAAAGTCACAGAATTCGCTTCCCACGGGATATATTTATATTTTCAAGGTGTTAATTAGTTCCAGTTTTCGTTTGTCATTTTCCCCATGCCGAGTGGTTGTCTTGGATGATTTCTGACCAACCATGAGTATTCCAAAAAACCCTAGGCAATTTTGGATTTAAAACTCAATGTTTTTCAACCTCAACACGAGTGATAAAAAAAAAACAAAAAAAAAAACTCAATGTTTTGACTGTTTCTCAACCCCAAGGGTCCTTGGCATGTCGGGTTTTGTACATTTGCTGAGGCAAAAATGGAATTTGTACTTGCAGCGAGCTGCTGGGCAGGGCCTTCCAAGCACCCACCGAGCTCAGTGCCCTGCAAGAATGTGCTCTGTTCATCTTTGAATATCTCTAAGCTTTGGAATTTAATTGAAAACCACAAATATCTATTAAGTATCTAGTACCAGACACTGTTCTAAGTGCTTAAGATAGGCTCTATCTGTAAACAAAACAAAAACGTACCGAAGGAAGAAGACAGTCTAGTGGTGGAAGCAGACAGTAGGCAGTAGACATGGGTGCGAATTCCATAGCACGTGAGAAGGTGCTGAGACCATGGGGGAAAGCAAAGGTGGAGTTGGTGGGGGGGGCAGGCAGGTTGCAGGGTCCAAGTGGGGAGGTAGAGCAAGCCTCATTTAAGAAGAGATTTGAGCAAAGACCTGGAAGACTTAGCTAAAGAGATGCCTGGGATAAGAGCTTTCCAGATACAGGGACCACCCAGAGCAAGAGCTGCACAGGGGACGTGCACCTGGGAGGTAAGAAGAAGGGTAAGAGGGTCAGCTGGCTGCAGTGGAGAGAGGAAGTCCCAGGCGAGGCGGTCAGTAAAGTAATGAAGCACCATGTTTGTGTCGGGTGAAAGAGGCCCCCAAACAAAGCTGCAGAGTTTGCAAGTCCAAGGAATTCTTAGAAAAGAGTTTTATAGGTTGCTGTAGCTATGTAGTTACTCACCCAAGGTGTGAGGAGGTCACTTCTTTTAATTCACAGTTGGCAACATTTGATAGAGAAGTCGCAGGCCCCCGGCCGTGCCAGTGTGGACGGGTGGCGGAACCCTCTCTCTCCGTGCAGTCGGGCTTCTAGTTGGTGTGTTAATCCAAAGAGCCACTGAAAGCAAGACTAATGAAAAAGGACACATACATGCCTTAAACGTTTTATTTCAATTTAAAGCATAAATCTGCCTTCATTTGATATTTATTTTGCATAGAGCTAAAGGCTTTTTGTTTGAATAGAGATGTGCTGATTGGAGCTCACCTTTCTTGCATAAACCATACTGATAATTTTCCTGGTGTTGCCTAAATTTCCCTGAAGATGAGAATCACTCCAGCCCTTCTCTTATAAAACAGACAACCAAGAAAATCAGGTCCCAAGGCCCTGACCTAGACTTCTTGAAGCAGAATTTCTAGCAGGGAGATGCCTGCTTATGTCCAGGTAGCAAATGACCCAGGTGATTCTTATCAGGAAATCTGGGGAAACAGTGGATTACATCTGGTTTTTGACACTTTCCTGTTTTTTTTTAAAGGGAGCAAGCATTTTCAAAAAGAAACGTGTACAGCAATCATCCCCCAGTCTTTTACACTTGTACCTAATTTAACAGAATTATATTTAGTGACTCACTGTGTCTTTCCAAAGCATTCAACTAGTTTTCCTGGAAATAACTCTCTTTTAACACCTATGTTTTTGCAGTTTATTACATAATTTTAAATTAAATGAGATGATTACATTATCTCGTAAAAGTGGCATGAGCAGATTTGGAACTAACCAGTAGTCTTGGTTATCCTACAACTGGCGGGGAGTGGGCAGCAAAGTGCACAGGTGTGCTAGAAAAGGCATCTTCAAACATTGTTCATGTACACCATTCACATTTTAAAAGTTGACTCTAAAATTTTTTATCAAAAATAGTTGAGTGCCGGGTGTGATAGCTCACCCCTGTAATCCTAGCACTCTGGGAGGCCAAAGTGGGAGGGTTGCTTGAGGCCAGGAGTTCAAGACCAGCCTGAACAGGAGTGAGACCCCGTCTCTACAAAAAATAGAAAAATTGGCCAGGCATGGTGGCATGTGCCTGTAGTCCCAGCTACTCAGGAGACTGAGGCAGGAGTTTGGGGTTGAAGTGAGCTATGATGATGCCACTGTACTCTGTCCTGGGTGACAAAGCAAGAACCTGACTCAAAAATAAATAAATAAATAAATTTAAGAAAAATCTGATTCCAGGTGCATTAGAAATATTGACATTTTGAAATAAAGCTGCCATGTCATGGTTTTAAGTGCATCCAATCAAATATGAGTGTCATAACTATCTGATACATGCTGTCATCCATTTATAAAATAATACACAAACCCTTCTTTAACAATTGGAACCTTCACATTTTTTCTCTTTGACTTGTATTGCCATTCTACTGCTACTATAGAAATTTATACTAATATATTTTTATTCTTGGAAATATTTTACTGTCTACCCTATTATACTTCTGCAACAAAATACATGAATTGTTTTTTTCAATTGCCTTAAAATTAAAAAAAATGTTCTCTAAAAAATTCCTCTAGATTGAGTTATCACTTCACTAATCTGTAGTATATAGTTGAAACAAGAAATAAATGTTTTGATTAATCTAAAAGAGTAAAATTTTATTAGAAATACATCTCTTAATAGATGAATGGGACATATACTTTATGAATTAGTGCATGTATCTATGGCTGAGTGTTAGGTCTTGTTAGGAGACAGTTCCTGTTGTTCTAGCCCAATCCTCCTACAGTATCACAAATAGTCAAGATCAGGTTTGTTTGTTTGTTTATTTTGAGACAAGGTCTCACTGTCACCCAGGCCAGAGTGCAGTGGTGTGATCCTAGCTCACAGCAACCTCAAACTCCTGGGGTCAAATGATCCTCCTGCCTCAGCCTCCCAAGTGGCTGGGACTATAGGCTCATGCCACTATGCCCAGCTAATTTTTTTTTTCTTTCTATTTTTAGTAGAGACAGAGTCTGGCTCTTCCTCAGGCAGGTGGTCTCGAACCCCTGACCTCAAGCAATCTTCCCACCTCAGCCTCTCAAAGTGCTAGCATTACAGGAATGAGCTACCTCGTTGGACCCAAGATCAGGTTTATTGACTCAGTGCAGTGTAGGAGACTGCACCTGGGTGTAACTGGGGGCGGTGTCCCCAAACACAGGAAAAGATAAAGTTGTTATAGGAGTTGAGGGAAGGCTGGAATCTAAGTGCAGTTTAAGTGAAGCAAGTTTTGATAGACTCAAAGCAATGAACAGGGCTATGTGTAAATGAGTCAACATCCAGTCTAGCTGGCAAAGTAGGCCAGGGTCCTATTTCTTTAGAAACTACAAAGTTAAGACGAATGTGGTGTCCAGAAACCCTTCATTTGAAGCTCTGCACCAGGGCTGGAACTCCTGGAACTCCAGGCTGCTTCTTAGTGTCAGAGTAACTTAGATCCTAGGCATGAGGGGATATTTTATTCTTTATTGCTAGAATTTCAGACAGAAGAGTTTTGGGTAGTTTATGATTTTCAAGAACAATGTCCATTGTAATTCTTAGTTTTTGCTTTTGATACATACAAGTACTGAGAAACCGGAGCCACCTAAAGTCCAGGCATGAAAGGAATGTTGATATGGCATTGCCACTCAGATTTGGACCTTCCAAGTTATGTGCCAAAACATGCAGATTGATTTTGTATCATATTTAGTGATCTGTTCATTATGATTCTATCAGACCCTCTTTCATCTTTACTGAAAGGAAGAAGAAACCACCCAACTTGCATGAGGATGTCTGCCTAGCCTGTAGACACCATTTGTTTTCTCAGATCTATACCAATGTTCCAAACATCCCTTTATTGGCACCCCATGTTTTCACACTTGGGGATGAGGCACCATTGTAAAATTTGGGAAGGGTGAGGGGTCCAGCTTGCTCGTGTAAAGCAAGAGGAGGGTGAGTGTGACCACTGTGCTGCAGGGGAGCTTCCTAGCAGCCAGTTCGCAGCATGCTGTGGGGGGCAGAAGGGGTGGAGATGCCATTTGGTCAGGGCTGTCCACTAAGTGGCACTCTGTTGAGGGAACAGTATTTGAGGGCTAAGGCAGTCACGATTTGCCTTGTATCACAAATAGATAATATGAATGATGAATTACATTGAGGAAATGCCTTTTCCATTTTTAATTGTGTTCAACTGGTTTTCTCATTAGTAATGCATTAGAAAATCTTGCTTTTGTTTCTTATTCATGGTTTTTTCTTCCCTGTCCTATTTCCCTTGAAGGAAACATACTTCATTGATTTTTCTTCTTTTTTTCTCCCTCCTCTTTTCTCTTCCCCTTCATTCTACTTTCTAACTACAAGTCAGAGGCTAGTCATAAAATCCAATGGAAGCTTCAAGAGGCTCGTCAACTCAGCTAAAATCTTTCTGGTCTTATGGTGCAAAATCTTTATGGTCTACTGTCCTTAGTACTACATGTGAATGCTGTTTTAATGTAATATATATACACATATATTTTGTAACTTAAAATTTCAATTATGAGTTTGGCAATACAATCACAAAATACACATTACAATCATGTCTCCTTCTACCCCTTGAAATAAAATTTGTAGCACCTAAATTCTAGGACAATGGCTAAATTCCCTTAGTCACAGAAGCCAAGCTACAGTGAAGTGTTATATCTTGAGCTGTCAGAGACTAGATGAAAGAAGTGAGTACAAACATTCAAAATACCATATTTATTTTGATTTTACTTTGGATATAACTTAAGAAGTGGGTGACCTATGTAAGTAGTACAGCATGTTTTTTGCTAACCCATAGCTCTTAACTCGGCTGTATCTGGTCCTTCTTTTTCAGGTTTCATTTCCAGGGACCCTGTGGTACAACTCTTCCTGAAGCCCTTGCCTGTCATGAAAGCGAAACTGTTTCCTAAGTGTCCTAGGAAAGAGAAATTATAGTATATCTAAGAACTAGACCACAAACAGGAGAAATGGTCTTGTGGGTAGTGAATGAAATATTGGGCGATCTAAAAATATCCTGATGCCCTGGCTGGAATCCAAGCTGTTGGTGAATGATGGGGGCTTAGCAGGCGCAAGAGCAAATGCATTTAGAAATCAGAGAACTGTGAAGTGAATTCCTGTTATCTGGTGTGAACTGCAACATTAGAAACCTTTGATACAGTTGGTTGGTTATTGGGTGGGAACGGATTTTGTAATTAAATTGTCTAAAAGATGTAATTATGCTGATTCTATTTTTGCCATTTGGGCAAAGATAGAAATAAAGGGGTAAAACTTTGCTATTCGATTCTGATTTTTGAACAAGTTTTAGTGGAAAATAAAGTCACTCTCTACAGAAGGCAATTTATTGTATGAAGATGTTACCCCAGGAGATGTCTCTGTTGGGGCTTTTTCTTTTCAGTGTTTACCTCGTTTGGCTGCCTTACCTCAGAGAACACGGGGTAGCTGAGTGCAGGAACTCAACACAAGGGAGCAAGAGAAAAGTACTGACAAGGGAAAAAATCAGGATGAGTAAGAAGAATGATACAAATATATGGACCCCAAGAATAAACACAGCTGCCTAACATTTTGCTGTGGCCGTCTTAGCAGCCAGGAGGGAAAGGAAGGTCTGATGGTGGACTGTTTATCATAAATGCAGAAGCATGCAGTGCCCGTGGGGTCTGCCAACCATTCCCACACAGAATTCTGAAGGGAGTTTTTCCCAGGGGAGTTTAAAAAATGGTATGCCCTTACTAGTAATACCTTGGAGTAAGTGGTAAGAATACAGCTCTTTCCTTAAGCCCCACCAGCCGAGCCCCACTCAGTACTCAGGGCCCTTGGAATGGCTGCTACCCAGCAAGCATGACAGGCCTGACTAGGGGACTGGCCACCAGCGTGTGGGGGTCAGTTCCTCGGGTCACGTGGGCTCCGGGTGATCATGTACCTGGGCCACGTCACCTCAGCCGCTTGCAAAATTCCATTTAATGTTACACTCTTGGCTTTTGTAGAAATAGGCAGCAAGACACTGTCGTATAAAACTTCGTACAGCATTTGCAAGTCATAACTTTTAATAAATTCCAAAGGTCCTTTGTGTGGGGAAGAGGGATATTTGTAGCCCACAGATGATTAGCCAGGCACCCTGAGAGCCGGTTCACACTCTATTTGGGTGGGTCAAGGGATGTACGCTGAGGGCACTGCTAACACCGATAATTAAGTTCTATAATACATATAATGCAGTTTCTGTACATTAAATACCATCACGCAATTTTAATAGGTTTGTTGCTAAGCTGTTCCCAGTTAACTCCATATAATTTCCTCATAAAATTTCCATGTTAGCACACTGTCTCAGGGAATCTGATTATATTTTTGATTTGTAATTTCCATCAGATCAAGGCTGGTTTCAGAACTGTTCATTGCAACTCCTCCCCTACTGGACCTTTGGTTCCAGCAGCTTTTTCTCTTGTGTCTTGTCATTTTCATTCATATTTCATTTTTTTCATTGGGAATTGCTTCTAAATCAGAAAAGAACTGAAAATACAAAATATATGTGAGATAGAATTAGTCAATTCAACTTAGCATTTATTAAACATTTACCATGTGATAGACATAATAAAATGATTAGCAAGACCTGGGCCTTGCCCACAAGGAATTCACAGAATGGATGGAACTACCGTCATGTAAACTATTAAACAATGTGGAAGCTACAGGAATAGAATTTTGTGAAAGGCTCAGAGAAAAGTGCAATTAGAGATGGGCAGAGTGGGAATGGGGTGGATGTTAAGGTGCATGAAGTCAGGCTCCGCGGGAGTTTTTAAGTAGAAATAGTCCTGCATGGGGGAGGGCCCGTCAGTGGAGGGGACAGCGCGCACAAATATATGGCGAGTGTGACACAGCTTGATTTGCTCAAAGGACGGTGAATCGTTCAGTGTTGTATAATGGGTGGGAGGAGATAAACACGGCGATCACAAAAGGACATGTATGCCAAGAAACAATATATTTGGAGGAAAAGCGTGTATATCACACAGCCACTGTGCATTCAGTACGTAACGGTGAAGTCCTGCTTCGACGGTACTTACTCAGCGTCCGCCAAGGGCCGGCCGCGGTTCCGGGCCGCGGGGTCGCAGCGGGAACCGGGCAAGGCCCCACGCCCCGGGCTTACCGCTACCGGAGTCGGGCGGGGACGCTCGACAGCGGTGCGGGGCTGACTGAACCCCGCGCTCGTGGAGTCGCCTGCGTCGGGGACAGCAGGACCGAGGGCAACGGCGTCCTTCCGCCACAGCACTTTTCTTCCCGTGAGGGCCCGCCTCCTCGGGGAGCGCCGGCGAACGCAGCCGGAGCTACGATTACCGACGGATCCGAGCGACCGCGCGGAACCCAGTGCTGAAGGAGGCGGCGACACAGTGACTGGGGCAGCGGTTTCCGGGTTTCTGGTCACCCGACAGCGTGACCCCCGCCAGCCCTGTCTCGCCACCGCAGCCGAGGAGGGCGGCAACGCGTGTCTCCCCCCCCCCCCCCCCCGAAACCAAGCCGCGCCTGCGGGCCGAGCGTGTCTGCGGTTCCTCCAGCTGCAGGCCCAGCGGGGCGGGAGGACACACGCCCCCGCCTCAGGCCGCGCCCTTTCTTCTCTCCGCGCATGCGTCACCGCCGGTAGTGGGGCCTCCGAACCTGCAGGGGGCGATGAAAACCTGCGTCGCTCGCTCTTTAACGTCGCGCTCCGCTTGCGACTGTTTCCGGGTCAGAAGTCAGACGGTCCAGCGCTGCGTGGGCCATGGTGCAGCTCCGGCCGCGCGCGTCCCGCACCCCGGCGTCCGCGGAGGCGATGGTGGACGAGGGTCCGCCGGCCTCGGAGGAGGAGGCGGAGCACGGCTTGTTGCTCGGGCAGCCCAGCAGCGGCGCGGCCGCCGAGCCGCTGGAGGAAGACGAGGAAGGGGACGATGAGTTTGACGATGAGGCCCCGGAGGAGCTGACTTTCGCCAGCGCCCAGGTGGAGGCGAGAGAAGAGGAGCGGCGAGTGTGGGAGACCGTGCGCAGGTTCGGAACCCGCGCCAGGCGGAGAGCACTGCCCATTCCCGTCCCGCTTGTCCTTTTGTGCTCTGACTTGTCACCCTTTTTTTCAGGGATAAAACGCTCCTGAAGGAGAAGAGGAAGCGACGAGAGGAGCTGTTTATCGAACAAAAGGTTAGAGGGTAGGGAGGCTTCTCATATTTAAACCAACCCGGCCGGGATAAAATTCCCGTGTTTGATGCAATTTGGGCTGCTAGGGGTATTGGAGTGGGGGAAAAGTCAGTAACGTTCTTCCTGACAACAGTGAAAAGATGTTCGTACCTTTTACTATCTGACACTCAACTGGTCACGACACCTTAGTCATTTAAAGAGGTAGTTTCTTTATGTGAAACTAGGTTGCTGTGAGAATTAAATGGTGATTTGCAAACTAAGGGCTCAACAGAGTATGATTGCTTTGCTGTTTGTTGTCAGGCACACTTAGCCACATAGAAACAACTCCAGGTGGGTTCGCTTAACTGCTTTCAATTTATAACAGTGACCTGATGGTTGAAATACCGTGGGGCACCCCTTCCAATTTTCACCAAGTCTTCCAGAGAATGTGGAATAGGTTCTGAGTTTTTGGACCCAGTCTTTCCTCCGCTTTAGGGATAGTGGGGGCATATCCCATATTCAGCCTTATTCATTTATTTGCCTAGACGTATAGCTGTCCATAAAATAAATGGGTATCTTCAGAAGCAACTCTGGACATATTATGTACATCAACTCTTATTTATTTTTAACTGTCTTTATTTCAAAAGAAAAGAAAACTTCTTCCAGATACTATTCTAGAGAAGCTAGCTACAGCTTCACAGACTGAGTAAGTAATGGATCTTGTATTACTTGCTTATATACACCTATCTTTGAACTACATACTGGGACATTTGTTTGAATCCATACAATGGAAGGAATTGTACAACCTAAATTTAAAAGCTACACAGTGGTATTTTAATTTGGTGGGGAAGATAGAGATAATACTTTTTATTCTTTCGCCATTTATTTTTGTAGCTCTAGTGTCTGATTTCCTGATCCCAGTGTGTTCATTTAATAAATTTTGAGTGCCTGTCATTGTACTAGGGGCAGGGTTGATGGTGGTGAATAAGTGTTTTGAAATTTATCATTTAGTGGGGTAGCAGACACTTACTTACCCACAGGCTCCTAAAACTCACTTTGTCTCATACTTGCCTTACCTGCCACCAACCTGTCCTTCCTCCTCATCCTGTTTGATTTAGCAGCTTTGGTGTTTTTTTATGGTTTAAAGCCAAAAGCTATCATTGTTCCATGAAATCACTCAAACTCTACTAAATTTACCCTTCTAAATATTTGTATTTTTTTTCCTATCCTCTTTTTCTTCCCTTGATGCTTTATCTTCAGAAGTTAAGCTCCCTTTTACCTAGACCAGTGGTTCCCAAATTTTCAATAAAAGAACTTTCCCAAAGAGATCCTGAATACATTAAACATACAAGCAGATCTATTTGGTGGCAGATTCCCTTTCACCTCTCAAAACCAAGCTCAAGTGTCATGTTTACCTTCTTATATGGTTTTCTCCTTCCATCACTTCCTCCTTCATATTGAACTCCTGGCCCCAAGCAATCCTCCCACCTCAGCCTCTCAAAGCACCGGGATCTCAAAGCACTGGGATTACTGGTGTGAGCCACTATACCAGACTTCCTCCTTTGTTTAGACTTTCTGGTGTCCAAGTGCTTTTGTATTGTACTCTACATTCTTTTTTTTTTTTTTGAGACAGAGTCTCGCTTTCTTGCCTAGGCTAGGGTGAGTGCCGTGGCGTCAGCCTAGCTCACAGCAACCTCAAACTCCTGGGCTCAAGCGATCCTGCTGCCTCAGCCTCCCGAGTAGCTGGGACTACAGGCACGAGCCACCATGCCCGGCTGATTTTTATATTATATATATTAGTTGGCCAATTAATTTCTTTCTATTTTTATGGTAGAGACGGGGTCTCGCTCAGGCTGGTTTTGAACTCCTGACCTTGAGCAATCCGCCCGCCTCGGCCTCCTAGAGTGCTAGGATTACAGGCGTGAGCCACCGCGCCCGGCCTTGTACTCTACATTCTTATACCGCATTTTGTCAGTTTGCATTTGTTTCCATTAGACCACAGACCCCTTGAGGCTGGTCCTTATCTCCATCCTTGTCTCTAAACTGTTGAATTAATCCTTTGTGATTTTCTCAAATAACATGAGACCTTTCACTTCATATTCTGAATATCGTGTTATATAACTTGTTCTTAAGTCTTTCACTTAACAGTAACTGTTACCAATAGCATTCTGCTGCTTTGAAGCCTAATACACTTTGAGATTTAAAATTGTGAAGATATTCTAATCCTAGTAATACTAATTTATTGATTGGGAGTTGGTGGAAGTGCACTAGGGAGGGACTTTTGCTTTCCAAAAGTGATAAAGGATCCTGAGTAAAAATTGAGGATGGTGATAATGAAAGAGGGGTATTTTATTTGTAAACCCAGATGAAATAGTGTGACATGTTTTGAGTAGCCTGTTATCTGCCATTCCACTCAGTGATTTTTTTTGTTTTTTCCTTAGCATAAAGAAATCACCAGGAAAGTTGAAAGAAGGTATGAATTATCCTAATTTAAATAACTTCTCATGTAAATGTCAGGTGCACTTGCAGACATTTTCAGTCCAGTGTCATTGGCCCTTAGAGAGCATGGGCATGGGCCTGGGCCTGGCCAAGGTTAGCTGGAGCTGGTTCCTTGTATTTCTTTCAAATAAAAACTGTATCCATATTGATGTGTAGTGGCTATCTAAAGTGAACTCCAGTAAATGCTCCTGATTTATTTTTACATAAATGCTAATTAGAAAATATAACTTAATTTTTTAGTTAATTTGCAAAAGAAAAATGAAGAGTGTGAAAAAGGAAGTGGTTCCAAGAAAGTTAAAGTGCAAAAAGTACAGTCTATCAGGTAATGAGCCTTTTTTTTTTCATTTGGGATGGGAAAAATAATTAGTAGCAACTTCAGATTAGGTCCTCTGTGGAAAAATCAATTCCAATATTAAAAAATCAGGATCAGTTGGACATTTGTCCTTCTAGGTCCTTTGGGTCAAGTTCAAATTTTATTTTCTTGTGGTTTTTTTGAGAAAATTTTCATTTCACCTGTCCCAATGGACAGATGTTTATTTCAAGATGCACTGCAGCCTATTGTCAGTTTCTCAGACCTGCTAGCCATTCACTTCTTGAAGCAGTGTGATATGTTCTCCATGGCTCCTGAATGTTCCTTATGTCACTAACCCTTAACAGTGGAAGGTATGCCAATGCAAGATGGCTATTCCTGGAAATGCATTCACCACAATGGCCAGTCATCATGGTCTTTCTTAAAAAGAGATCCAACATTTCCCTGAAAATGTGGCTTCATCTTCTATTCTTAAGGTCTACAGAAGTCAAGAGAAAGCAGCTCCAGCTGTTATTGAATTTTAGCCCACATATGGTTGATATTTACAATTTCAATCTTAAAGTATGCAAGCATTATTTTGAACTGCATCCAGTACAGCTTGGTTGTCCAGGGCATTACCTGCAAATCGGAGTCCTGTTTTAGCCACAAGATCAAATATAAAATGCAAAGCAAAGTACAAGACCAGCAGAGGAGTTCCTTGTGATCTGTGGGGCCCATATTTGGCACAGTTTATGTGGTGCAATTGATTTGGAGGTGATAATTGGCAACTGTGGTGAATGGATTTCCAGGAATAGCTTTTAGTTCCCTTTTACTACATGTATTATAACAATTTCCTGTTAACTAATATGATTTGGACTTTTGGTTTTAGTATCTTTTAGTACAAATTTACAGGGTTATGTTCTTCAGTTGGATATATCATAGATATAAATTGTTAAATTGATCCAAAATTAAAAACATTTGCTCTACTAAAATGTAAATGTTAGCCTATTTCTTGTAAAATAGCCTTATAATTTAATCTGTGCATATAAAAAATTAGAAATTTCATTTTTCACTGAGACAATTGACAAAAATACTTTATTTTGAAAGTAAGCATTTATTCTCCTCATTTATTTTGACCTTTTGTATTGATCGCCAGCCAGAATAAAAGCTACGTGGCTCTAAGGCTAAAAGACCAAGATCTTAGAGATTCAAGGCAACAAGCAGCCCAAGCCTTCATACACAATTCTTTATATGGTCCAGGAACCAACCGAACTACTGGTAATTTTCTTATCGACTATTTTTCTTGCTTTTTACTGTGAATAAAACAAAGAAATGATAAATAGTTCTCTTTTCTAGTTAATAAGTTCCTGTCTCTTGCAAACAAGAGGTTACCAGTGAAAAAGGCTGCAGCCCAATTTTTGAATAATGCTTGGGGTAAGATTTAGCTTTATTTTCTTGTCTCTGATAGCTTTATTATGTTGAGTAATGTTCTTTTGAAGGAGATAGTTCATTATCATAATTTTTCCCCATATATTGGCTTATATATTATTTTAAAATTGCTTCTGAAAAATAGGTCAACATATCATTTAACATATAATCTAATAGACCTTGTTTTAGTATTTGTATTCATATAGAGAATCATGAAAAAACATTTCAAATTATGTGTTTCTTGGGCATTTTACCTTACTGTACAAAACTTTCTATTCTAGGAACTCAGAAAAAACAAAATGCCAAGAAGTTTAAAAGACGGTGGATGATCAGAAGGATGAAGACTCCTAAGAAGTAAATTGAAGCTAAAAGAAAAATCTGTATTTTGTATGTATAGAAC